AAATATGTTGTTACTTCAGTGATTATATATTTATTTTATTCGATTATACGTAATCCTAAAATGTAGCATCGTACTACAGATGGCGTTTACCGCGCCATTTGTGGTATTTTCTAAAACGCGCTGTTTAGACAGCAGGTTGTGCTATGTTCTGTCGAAGCTGCCTGCGACGCGCTGATGAGATCTATAGCAGTTTCGACGGAATTCAGATCATTTCGAATTATTTTATTCTATTAAATAACGATTTATAACTTTACTTAATAGTTCCTATCAACTCTAAAAGGAAAATCGACGTAGAGAAAATGATAAATAAAATGATATGACTTACCATCCTGGTACATTTTCGGGCGCATCACACCTTTGGGAATCCTCATTATAAACTTCTCCAACTTGGCATCCAAGATCCCGTGGTTCTTGTCCGTTAAGACATACGTAGAACCTCTGGCAGTCTGTAGGGTGTGCGTATTTTGGATGAACTACCACGTTTCCATTGGCGTCAGTCTGATGTTCTTTTGGACATTCGAATCCATCTTTTAACTTTCCTGTAACAAACAAAGGAATGTTTCAATATTATCTATATTTACTCCAATTTTGGTTACGCGAGGGAGTTTTTTTCATTTCTAGGCTTCCTAGATAAGATAACTTTTTACTTTTGATAACAGTACTATGTAAAGCTACATTTTCTTAATCTATTGTGGTTAAATGAGATAAATCGATCCGAAAAGTCGGTTTTTTATTTTTTTTACTAATACTGTAATTGTGTTCTCTTATTCTTATGTTTATAGATCTTCCACTCTGCCCAATGTAGAGGGCATCACAAGAATTGCAATTAATTCTATAAATTCCAAATTTGTCTAATTTCTCTACTTTAGGTTTCAATCTAGAAAAACAAATATTTCATATTCCATTGATTGTTTTCAGTCAGAGTTATACTAAATTTATTTAATACGTGTTTAAATTTATGACTAACGGTGTTGGTGAATTTTACGTAAGAGTAAGATTTTGTTCTGAGTTGAAGATGTACTAATAGGAAGGTTAAATTGACCAAATATATTTAGAGCCGTGTTTGTTTTAGTAATTTAGTATATCAATTACTCTATTTCATTGAAAGTTGTCACGTGATCGAAACTTTTTTTTCATTTCATTGAATTTATGTGTACGCTCTGTTCTTATGAATAATTATTACTGTAAAAGATAAGATAAGCATTTTGCTTAACTTGTTTTGCAGAATTATTTATAAAACGTTTAAAATAATGACACCCTGGAGAAATTTGATTAAATAGATAAAACGTTAATTGAAGAGTATGAATTGGAACTATTATTTTAATTACTATATAAAAATCGATAAACCTCAATATTGGGCATGCATAATATCTAGATTAGTATTAAAAAAATGACATTTACTTGTGCTGGTGTCTTCACATCCCTGTCTTTGGGTGGAATCGGGCCATACACAGGTACCAGTCAACTCGTCGAAAAGCAATCCAGCTGTACATTTGCTTTCGGTAGGTTCACCTTCGATACAGTTGAAGAAAACGTTGCAAACTTTAGGGTCGGGATGGGCGAAGAAACCGTTTCTTCTTGGGCAATACGGTGGTGATGGTTGGGGTGGTTCTGAAAAAAATATATGAAAATTAGATCACTCGATTCGCTCAAAGAAAGATCTTCATTTCGTATCCAGTCTCTGAATAATAAGTGGTGTCTCGATAGACATGGTTAAAATTTTCTAAGTTCAAGATGTTTCAGAGATCCCAGTCTTTCTACGGGAGACTCGAGTCTCTCAATTTTTCAGTTTTATTTATTCAGTCTCTCTGTGAGAGATCCACAAAATCCAAAAAAAATCCATGAAAATGTGATCCATGTGATCCACAAAAATACCTAGGCAATAACTGAGAGACTCTGAAAGACTCTGAAAGACTGCAGAGACACTGAAAATTTTTGTCTAGGGATGTAAGGCACATAAAGGATGATTCTGATTTTTGAGGAATATTGGACAATTGAATTGTATTTTGAACAACTGCAATACTGGACTCATAATCATAAGGTCGTCAGTCCTAAGACTGGTTGGACACGTACCTCCACTCTTTCCTATCCTGAGGTAATCTTCGCATTTCCCTAAAACTAGAACACTCCACATCCTTAACTATTTGGGAACAGTAATCTAACCTAGTTCTACCTCTACCCCTCTTAATTCCTGTTTCTGCCTCTAGTATGTCTCTGACTTAACCTACATGACTGAGAAGGTGTCCTACCGACCTATCTCGCCTATTTTTATTGAATTCCATAGAGTCCTCTGTTCTCCTATTCTCTCCAATACTTCTTCATTTTTAACCTTCCCAATCCACAGTATCCTCATCATTCGCCTATAACACCACATTTCGAACCCTTCTAACCTTTTCTTTTCCGCCGCGCCCACTGTCTATGTTTCGCACCCGTACAACGTCGTGCTCCAAACATACACCTTTAACAGCCTTTTTCGAATTTTTAAATTAACCGTTCGCGAACATAGAAGTGACTTCTTTTTTTTAAAGGGGACACGACCCTGCGCTATCCTCTGCTTTATATCCCTACTACTCCTTCCATCCTGACTTATCTGACTTCCTAGATATCTAAAATCAGCCACTTCTTCTAATTTTTCGTCTCCTATCTTTATATTCGCTCTTTCTCTACTTTTTGTTCCCCTGCATATCAGTATTTTAGTTTTACTTTTATTTATTTTCATACAGTACTAATCTGTCAGTACCGCTACCATTTTATTTAAAGCTATCTCTAGGTCCTCCTTGCTAGATGCTAATACTGCTATATACTGGACTAATATTTAATGTATTTAAAAAATATGTTGTTACTTCAGTGATCCCTTTCAACTTTGAATAATCAGAATAAATTAAATGCACCATTTTAAAATTTCTACATTAAGTAACCCAAAAATGAAAGTATTTTAAGTCCTGTCCACATATTTTAAGTAACATTAGCATAAACAACATAAATACCTTTGAGTGTGCATGTTTATATGTTTATTGGTACCTACATATAATAAATAAATTCATAAGTAGAACATTAGTTGTTGAAAGATGAGACCATTATGTAATAGGTACCTAGAAGATACGTCTTTTCTCTGAACGATACCATTACCATAAATTCTTTCCGATTTAATGCCCACTAGTAAAAAAATTGATGAAGATGCAACGCTATGATCGTAGGTTTATCTATGCATATTTATGTAATGACACCTTGATTACATAAATTTGTCTTATACACATGTTATGTATGAGTTACATAATCCAACCGCCACCGCTGCCGTTGTTCAAAAGAAATTTCACCGCCTACCTTTCGAAAGCTACTTAATACGTTCATTACAATGTGATATTAATGTTCCAGAAAATATATCACAAACGTCATTAAAAGAAACCGTGTGTTCGTTATTAATATATGTATGTAGGATATGAAGCATTTTTTGAACTTTAGTTGAGGACAAATGACAAGGATTTCATGCATTTGCAGGGGAGGACTGTTAAAATGGGGCACCCTGGGCTAATAATAGTTTGGAACTTATTTAATTAATCAAACTAAATAACTTTTTATTTAATGGTAGGGAAAAAATGGGGCAATCGTTTGTAGTTCTGTTATAAAAATTATAAAGCATTCAGATTATTTTTTTAATTTCTAAATTCCCAATATATTACACATTGTCTACAACAGGGGCTGTGGGTCAATTATATCCACGGAGCCCTGGCCTGTAGCCCTAAAAGCCTAAATATAGATCCGGCTCTGTGCATTTGGCATAATTTATCTCCAGTTTTTTGAAAATCGAAATTTTGATGCACTTACTGTTATTCATCTTCGATATACAGATATGTAGGGATTTATTGAAAAATGTTTTATAACCAGAACTTCAAAATTTTGCTATATATAGTGAGGTTTAGAGCACAGGATTATAAGGAGATATGGCTGTAGCCCATAGGTTCTGCAAGTGCATCAATGGACTTGTATGACTCCCGTCCTAATGTTTTCTTCTCTACGTTGCATCCCCAGCTCTATAACTGCCTGTTGCTCTTCATACAAACTAAGTATCACTCTTCTATCTCTGTAACTCATCCCTACATTTTTATGCATATTTAACATTTTGTCTCATTTAAAATTGTCAAAAGCTTTTTCTAAATCTACAAATCCTACGTACGCACTCTTTCCTTTTTCTATCGTTTTCTCTATTGTTACCCGTATAGCAAGAATAACCTCCCCGGTTCCTCTATTTCTTTTGAACCCAAATTGATCTTCCCCAATAGTTCTTCCCCCCATTTTTTCATCCACCTCTGTACAATTCTAGTTAAGATTTTTGACGCATGGGAAGTTAAGCTAATTATACTAAATGTCTCCGCACCTAACCGCGCCTCTCTTTTTAGGTTAGGTTGCTACCACGTTCCGTCTATAATCCTCCGGGACTTTCTCCGCCTCGCAAATGTGACTAACTAACTTAAACATACGATCTCTAACATCTTGTCCTGCATGTATCTCATCTATACTTGGTGTCTTATTATTCTTTAAGTTTTTAATGCTACATCGAACGCTTCCTTCATTATGGGATAACCTAGTTCATCGATCTTCACACTATCTCTCTTTTGTAATATATCTCCTAACTCCTGACCTACGTATAGATTCTCTAAGTATTCTTTCCACCTGTCTGCCTTTTTCTTGTTTTCTATCAAAATCACCCCTACATCTTTTCATATCTTATTACTACTGTACCCTACTTCTTTAAAATTCCTTTGAATTATATTATAAACCTCATCTGTTTTACCTACTTCAAACTTTTCTTCTTAGTTAGTGTAAAGTTAACATTTAAAGGTCGTAGAATATAATGGTAAATAGTACGTACACTTAAGGAAGATTTTCTTCAGAGAAAATTAATTTTTGAAATCTACATATTTTCACTTCAAATCTACATTACAAAGTAGAAAAGGAAACATCACTGCCCCTATTGTTAGAGAAATGCACTGTTCAAATATTCGCTGTACAACAAATGAAAGTTTTAGAACAAAATTGTTATAAACATCCTTTTTATAAATACTGACCTTTAAATGTCAAACGAATAAAGCGTTTTTGAATATTAATGATATTCATTGGAAGAAGAATATATTACATAATTTTAATGAAAAACTTGTGCATAATAGAAAATTAATTATGGTACTTAAAATAAGTCCGTGTTATTGGTTTTTTATTATTATTATTATTTTTTCTTCATTTGCTTCAATTGTTACTGACTTCTTGTATAATGGCCTGACTAATATTCTTATTGTTTATTTGATTATTATTACTATATCAGTAAGCAGATACATCAAAGTATAAGTTCTTTCTTAGCACATAGTAAGTACTAAATTCACCAGACAGCGCAAACGAGAAAGGTCAACCATAATTCAATTGTTTAGAGACAACTTCATTGTTTCAATTGTTAGAAAAAGGAAACGTGATTGTGAAGACAGTTAGGATTCTTGAGATTATTATTAAAACTACATGAAAAAAAAACAACAGATAAACTAATTATCTAGCACTTGAGGTTAAGTACTTTTTTTAGCATTTGATGCTAAATTTACTAATAAGAAGGACTAACCGTGATTCAGACAAACCAAAGATCTGGCACTGCATGGTAAGTCATTAAAGTGTGCCATGAATACGCTCAATCATAGTTCACTTGTTTGGTGGCAAATTTATTGTGGCCAATCCCAAGGAAGTGACAACTCTATGATAAATGCCGTTCCTTATTTAGTCACTAAAAGGATAACTACTTACGAAGTTCAATTCTGTCGCCGCAGTCAACATTGAAGGGTTGATCACATTTGTTGATTTTTCGGATGAGAGGGTCGTAGACCAAACCATCAGGACACAGTTTTGGGGTTGCGATTCCTTCTTCGCATACATAGAATTTGTCACATTGTACTGGGTCTTCGTATTGTCCGTCTTTTGGGGGACATTTGAACTGTTGACCGTCTAATAAAACGAAAGTTCAAATTTATAATATTGATCATGTAAATAAATAATTAGACTTAGATTTAATAACTTCAGAAGTTAATTAGTATCAGGCATGCAAGTTTTTGAAGTGTTGAAAAACTTATTTGATTCTAATAAACTAAAATTAATGGGTTTATATCCTTATAATGACTACATTTGATTTTTTTATTTTTTTTTTGCTTGAAATTTTTCATAAATTTAGATGGAACTTATACAGTTTTATGACCTATAAAAGGTATGCGAAAATTGTGGCCCTCAATCTGAATTGACTTTCTAGTAATAGTTAGAAACTTTAACATCAATTTGAAACGTTTCCAAATTCGTTTAGGAGAAATTGAAGTGAATTGCTTAATCGCACTTTCCAATTCTAAAGTGAATATACAATTAAACTACAATTAATTCATTTTCATTTTGCTTCCTTAATCAGAACAAAATTGTTCGTGTTTAATTTGAAAATCGATTTGTAAGAACATTCATTTTTGCTAATAATAGTATTAAAGTTAGCTGTATTAATTTTCGGTTACAAGAAAATAGTTTTGTTTATTTAAATGATTTTCTTGGAAGCCATTTACATTTGGCTATTGAAACTGATTGGAATTCTAAGTTAAAACGACAACCAGGATACTCTAAGGCTACGTTTACACTAAGCGAATGTTCGCTCTCGCTGTACTCCCTTTGATCGTCGATTACGCCAAAATGAGCAAACGTGAAACGCTCTTAAACGAAAACTGTAATTATTATTAGTACTAAAAACAAAAATTTTCACTTTAAAAGAAACAAGAAAAGCGACCAGTTTACGTCAAATTAGAAAGGCTTCATAAATAAATTTCTTTTCGTCAAATGCAACCTCCTGTTTACTTCATACTCTAATAAATATAACTTTAGTGTTTGATACACATACATATTTATATAATATCAAGTACCAAGTACAGTTTCACCTAAAGCCTGTTCAAAAACTTGACCTTGGTAGCTTGGTTAGTGAAAGCTTACCAATGGTGTATACCTAACGTTTTGTAGTACAAATTAAAACCGACGTTAGCGACATTTTTCAAAAAAATCTTTTGAAACTGTCAGCAATTATAATAATGGTTGGTATGAAAATTATCTGCGACAGCGCAGCGCAACGTGTTAGCAACAAACAGAACGTGTTCGATTGTTGTAAGAAAACAAATATGTTTTCCAATCATGCACAGAATTCTTTGCATGTCGTTGTTATGCGAAAGTGAAAGGCCTCTTGATCATTTTGTAATCGAACCGGTCTCGCCGACTCCAAGTTACAACTTAAACACTTTTATTAATAAAATAACTCATGCAGGATTTCTTCTTCATGGCACGCAATCGACAATCAGAAATTTTGGAAATTGAAAAACGTACCCAAAAAAAATCCGGTTTGATAATCATTTAACTAAAGACAAAGTAATGCCACATTAAATCGTTTCTTCACAAATTTGTCATAAAATCCTATTCTTCAAGAATACTCACGCATTTAAAATTTTGGTGATTTTTTGAAAATAAACTAATAAAACCAGAAGCCGGTGAATATTCAGTTGGTATCTACTGAAATTGTTGTAAATAGAAACAATTATTCTTTNATCATTTTCTCGAAATAGTTTATCAAATTTGATATCATAATTTTTGCATGCAGATGCTAAAAACCAAAAAATTACGTTTCACCATTCATATCAAATTTGATATCATAATTTTTGCATGCAGATGCTAAAAACCAAAAAATTACGTTTCACCATTCATATTGTCAATGTTGTTACTTTAAATATTGTCAATTGACAAAACGGGCATCATATGTTCATCAAAACTTTTTATAATCGCTGAAAATTTAAAGTGTATCACCTCTTCCTATACAACTTAATTTTTCTTTTTTAGTTTGACTTGGTTTTTAAAATTTATCATGTTATTCCATAATCCAGACGTAAAGTCTTCTTAATTTGAACTCATTGTCAAAACAGAAAAGTAGTAAATATAGAGAAGGAAGTAGAGAAAGTTTATTAACGAATTTGAATTTTTGCAAATTTACCAGAATTGGATTTTATTTTAAAATCATCAATTATACAAATCAAAAGAAAATGCTGCTACTACCTATCGCAGAAAAATTGGTAACATCAGCGTCGAAAGACTACAAAAAATAAAAAATAAAACAAATAAATTTAAATTATCGTTTATTCAAAATAATATACACAGTTGGATACTTCTCTATTAGGTTCTATAGACATTAGCGACATATTGGTCAATCTTCTGTACTTCTTAATTCATTTTTTATTCCTTTTAACTTGGAGAAAAAGCACTTCCCAGTGCCGTTAGTTATCGTCATGCTTAAAAAGATTCTTAATGCTCTTTCTACATTTGGAAATGTAGTTTCAATTTTGTTTTGTAATTAATGGTTAATTTCCCCAATATAAATATATTTATCGGTAATACATATTGTTTTTCGGTTGGTGGATGGATCTGGCATAAACTAGAGGGCCCTTGGGCAATCTTACCCAGAATCCCCAATGGAAAAGAGGGACCTGTTCACATCGATATTGAAGTTTTATTTATTCGACGGTGACATCTTTTTAGAGCAAGGCAATCGAAAATCGAAAAGGCCAGTAACCAAAAACCAGTCTGCTTGATAATTAGTTGCTTACTAATATATCTATTAATAACAAAACTTCGGGTACAAATACACTTGAGGTACAAATGGGACAAGGATCTTTATGAAAGGACAATAAAACAACTTTTCTTTGTTATGTATGATTCATTTTGATATCTTTATATCGAATTTTACACGTCAGGGAATAAGGTCAGATTTTGTTGGATTTCCACAAAATCCAACATACAATAGCTGATATGTATGTAACTCATATTAAAGGCACATTGTCATTTACTGTGTGTGAAATGTGTTATTCACTACCTATATACATTCGTTGTAAAAAAACATATTTATAAAACAATAATAAGAATAAAAATAATATGAAATCGTAGTCGTTGTTTTGTTCACTTTTTGTTTTTCATGGAAAATGTGAAGGACGTTCCCTTAATTAGACTAGAACAACAACGTTTAACGTTTAAATAATAATAATAAAAAAAAAAAGAAAAAGTTGAAAACAATACAAGGCAATTTTGATGTCGTAAATGTGTAGGCATATAAAACAATTGGTTACTTAAAAATACGCTAGTAATTAATAGTATCACTTATTTTCTAGATTTCTTGACAGGTTTTCCTGCCGATGGTTCGTCCTTGTACCAGTCCTCACTGAAAGTAAAAAGCAATTACTGACTAAAAATATTAATTTGATTAACCTTCTTTTGACAGTCAAGCTGAATATCTACTTGTGAAAATTTGATGTTGTTCGATCCTAATAGAAATCAGTTGTTTGGTAGTTCCAACATATTCTTAATTTGTAGATACATATCTATGTATATTAGAATTATGTGGTTTAGAATTACGTTTTTTTATGAAACAATTGTCGAATTATAAATTTTAAGATCAGTAGGTATCAATAAAACATATTTCATTTAATGTACAGTACCTAATATTAAAAAATTATAGAAAATACAATAAAAAGCACGATATGAAATATTATTCTGAAAATTCATTTCTGAATTTTTTACCCACTACACGCTACCTCAAATTAATGAAGGAAACATTGTTGCTGTTGTCACACCCCCGCCGGGAATCGAACCCGAGACCTTTGGCTTTACGCACCAATGTTCTGACCACTAAACTACGAGAGGNTATAAATATTTGATAATAACAAACAAAAATTAAGTTCAGAGTTTTTACTTTTTATGATGTACATTTTGTTCAGGTGTTAAACAAAATATTCACTTAAAATTGAACTTTGAATTTTAAGTCACCATATGCAGACGAATGATGAGGATACCGTGGATAGAGAAGGTTAGAAATGAAGAGGTATTAGAAAGAATAGAATTACAGAGGACTCTATGGAACTCAATAAGAAATAGGCCTGATAGGTTGGTAGAACATCTTCTCTGGAACGAAGGCCTAGTCAGAGACATATTAGAGGCAGAAACGAAAGTTAGGAGGGGTAGAGATAGACCTAGATTAGATTACTGTTCGCAAATAGTTAAGGATATGGGTTGCTCTCACTTTAGGGAAATACGAAGATTAGCTCAGGATAGGAAAGACTGGAGGTGCGTGTCCAACCAGTCTTAGTACTGACGACCTCATGATTATGATGATGATGCAAAAATACGTATTGTATAAAATGCAGTGACGAACCACACAAGCAATGAACTATTATTGAGCAAAATTGAACTTGGACGAAGACCAAGTTCGAGCGAACAAGACCAAGGCTAAAACCAAGAATGAATATGGAAGACCAAAACCAAATACGCAAGCCTAAATCAATATTTATTACTTTCTGTGGATTTATGAGTGAAACTATTAGATGCAACTTTCATATATTATTTTCTTGGAACAAAACGTTTTTAGTATCGGAAATTTTCAGTTTGGAATCTGCAAGAATGCCTTCTGAATAAATGTTCTTTGTTTCTATGCCTGGATAACACATGGTTGAAATATAGAGACAAACTAATTCATTCGATTTGATTTTTTTACTTATTTCAAGTATCTTATACTATTTTGTCCAATATTAAGACTGAGATCTGCAAGACGAAGACGAAGACTAGAAGTATTTGATCAAAACCAAGAAGAATACCAAGACTGGGATAGTCTTGGTGTTGGTTTGCTCATTACTACCAACGATCATGTTTCTTACTCAAATGTTTTGAATGTTTCGCAGAAACTAAAAGATGACCAAATAAAAATTAAAAAAGTCTTTTATTTTACAATTACAAAACTTAAAAATTAAAAATACACTTGACTTTTTAAAAAATACATGTTAGGCGCTTTCGCTATTTTTGGAAGACGGCCTTTGGGGTTTCCTCCTTCTTATAGGAGTTCCGTCTGCAGTTCTCGGCGTTGGGGGATTTTCTAGTTTATCTAATTCTTCGTCTGTTAGCCTACCTTTGTACCAGTCAGCACTGAAAAAGGATTGGTTAAAATTAAATTAAAAAATAACAAAGTAATAACGTCTTAGTGGTATTTTATTGAGGATGGACAAAATACTTTGTGGGTACTACAGATCTTTTTGTCAGTATCAAAATAAGTTAGTATTTATATGGTTTTCTAAAATAGTATGGATAAGTGTAATGATAAGTAAACTATAACAAATTAAAACAGTAATAAATTGATAAAAAAAGTAGCAACAAGAAGCAGCTTAGGGCATATTCGTTTTTTTCTTATTCTCAAATCCAATTAAGTCACATGACTTGGTTCCTTGTAAATTCTTTCTGATCGGTAAATGACATCATGTAACTTTTCATAAAAATATTACTATCTTTTTTTAATTAATATATACAAAAGTAATAGCGTATCTAGATGATTTTTCCTTAGGATTCAAATATTGTTAATTGGTACCAAAAGTATAATTGCAAACAAGAGTCATTGAGTACTTAACGGAAAAATACTATTGGAAGTACCAGATGTACTATTATTCAATTTCAATGTTCCTTGGAAAACACACAACTATTAATAAATACGATCGTGGAGTACTAGAAATCAATCTCAAGAGTGCTAGCAGTACCTACTACTGGACTTTACGATTCCCCCGATTGCAGGGATATCTATTACAGGATCGTCAGGTATTTAAGATTCAAATAGGTAACAGGAGCGTCAATTACTAGAAATATGACTGTGAAGTACAACCATTTAGAGATATAACTGGGAAATTGACACGTTCAAGTACTGCAGATATTATTCGGAAATGGAATTGTTGAGCACCAGATGTACTATTGACACCATGAATCCTGAAGTACCAGAAGCATTCTTGGAAGTTAATTTGGTGAAGAATTGTTCAGGATAAGAAACACTTTTAGAAGTCAATCTAGGGAACCAGTACCACTGGATTCCACGATTCTACTAATGACATTGGTATTGTTGGCAAGCAGGATCCTTGAGTACCAAATATACAATTGGGAACAAAAGTCCATTATTAAAAATACTTTTTTTGGAATGCTACAGATATTATTAAGAAATGGAGCCATCTAGAATCAGACATACTAATAGACTTCAATCTCAAGAATTGCATTCTACCAATGTTAAATTTCAAAATTCATTGAATGTTGGAGATATTATTAAGAAATAATGTCGTCGAGTACCTATATAAGATACAATTGAAACACTGCAAAGTTAATTACTAGAAATACCATTGGAAAGCACAACGGTCGAGTATTTTTGGAAACTTGGACTTCAGGAGTCGTCTCTTCATTTCAAGAAGGAACATATGAAAGGATTTATTGATCATAAAAAAAAATCATTAAAATTGGTTTATAATTATAGTCTCACGTGTAAATTATTCAGTTTCTGATGTCATTACAATGATTTACCCAATGCAAGACCGTTAAAACAGATTCTGATGAAGCCATGACACACCTAAGCAATCTGAACGAAATTATTTATCCATTTTGATGGAATGTACTTCAGCAATTCTTTGTTTCTACCTCCGGTATACGTTTAAAATGAAGGTAAACAATGGTCTTTAAGAATTAATGAACAAGGTCGTGTTCATAAAAAGATTACTTACCACTCTGGAACTTTTCTGGCCCATTCGCACTTTTTACCAACATCATCAAAGACCTGTCCCAGTTTGCATCCATTTCGTCTGGGAACGTTCCCGTTGATGCACACATAAAAATATTGGCAGTCGTCAGGGTCAGCGTATCGTGGGTGCGTCAGCCCAAAAGTTTCATTAACCTTAGGACACTCGAACTGAAATACCTCTACAACAAAAGGATATTTCGCGTTTATGGGCATTTTCAAGGTAAACCAAGAAAATTTACTGTATGCTGCCGCAGATCGCAATCGTAAACCTGTTTGTTCTTTAATTTTATTCCGTTGTTTACTACAAGCTTTCGCATATTTTCAGATGGAAACGGAAAATAAAAAGACTTTTAAAATACAGGAACATTAATGCAAAAGATATTTTTAGAAGTCTGTACACAGAAGGCGAGATATCGACCCAAGGCATTAACCATAAAACTGTTTCTTGACCTTCTTCTGATTAAACACTTAGAGGGTTGTTATTTTCTCGGATATTTTATGGAAAAATATTAGATATAATGTAAATTCTTTATTACCAATCTGGAGAAGTCTAGTAGGTATTTTAGTTTAATTATATATACGTANTCACGCGGAATATTGTAAAATAATTTCGTAAACTATTGCAACTATATCCTTTAATAGAAAAATGAATTTCAGCACCAATTCGTGATTTTTACAATGAGACAAAAACAAGGTTGTCTTTAAGGCGTGTGTACGACCTCCAAAATTGTTGAGATATGTGAAATGGAACTTTCAGATAGTTCTACTTTCGTTTTATGTCAATTAGTGGAGGTTCAATGGCATTGATAAGGAACTCGAATAATTAATAGATACCAACTTGACCTCAAAGTTTCGATTCGAATTTCACTTCTATTAACTGACACATCTGGATATTTAAGATATAAGTTTTTTGTTATCGTGACAGACTCTACGAGTGCAAGCGTTTTCTTGTTACTTAAATACGAAAAAAAAATAATTTTAAAATAATTTAGTTTATCGTCCTTCTCTCTCAAGCAATAAAAAATTAGTAATTGTAAGTTGTTGCAGATAAATTCATTAAGGCAATAATTTTTTGAAACAAATACGTCCTACAGAACCTATTTTAATTAAGTATCCATTTTTCCTGCAGTTATATGAATTTTTTAAATACTAATTGGTACCAAAAAGGGAGAAAAAGCTTTTTATTAAGTATCCAGAAACTACTGCCAACGTATCTTTTGGTCAATAATAAAAAATATGCTCCAATAAGGTCCATTTAAATATATGGATATCTACTTGCTGAAACGAATCCCGAATCTTTATTTATTTATTTTTTATTATTATATATTTATTTTATTCGATTATACGTAATCCTAAAATGTAGCATCGTACTACAGATGGCGTTTACCGCGCCATTTGTGGTATTTTCTAAAACGCGCTGTTAAGACAGCAGGTAAAAGTTGGTCTGTGTTCTGTCGGAGCTGTCTGCGACGCGCTGATGAGATCCAAAAAGATCGAAATCGCGATCCGCGTCTGGCAGTTTCGA